TCTCTCTCTCATCTAATACACTTGCTTTTTATTCCACTAAGAAAACAAAAGCAATCAAAAGAGACTTTCCTGATTCTCTCATGACTGAATCCATTGGTATTCCAGCATTTGAAATTAAATTCTTTGCTTTCTTTCCTTTAAAAAAGATAGGTTAGTCTGTCAGTGATTATACCAAAGAGAAAACCATGTCCCATTCTCTTACAAGAGACCATTTTCCTAAAAACTTCTCTCTGAATTCTCCTCATGATTTCCCCTTATATTGAATCATTCCCATTATCATTTGTTTTACAGGAAGAGCTATGATTAAAATATTTCTGTCAGTGCGGTGAATGCAAGAAAAAAATCAAAAGTTAAATGTAACATTGAGGATTTGTTCAAGAGTTAAAATTAATTTTGGCACCAAGTTTGAATCTATTGAAATCATATCTTCGAAATATAGTTCTATACATATGCATTTCATTGCTCTTTAATTGTTCTGCCCATTTTCTTTCAAATAAACACACCTGCTCTGTCTTGTTTTCTGTTTTTTGGTATTCATTTTTCTCTAATAGAGAGTGAACATTAAAACCAAACCCTGAGATCGATTCTTAATATATAAGATCTCTTGTTAAAGACACTGAAACTTAACCTACTTCAATACTATTGATCCCGGGTGAAACTTAATGAATTTCATCTCATTGATATGTGTGGTGAGCCCATGAAGCAATGCTGTCCATGAAAATCTTAGACTGTAAATTTTTCAGATTTGAGACACATATATAGAGAGAAACTTATTGGTGATCTCAGAAATAGCTACTTTGGAAAATGAATTGAATTTTCATCATGTCTCTTGAGTCTACATAATAATGGAATAAAATGATGAAAGAATGACTGGAAAGTGCAAGACCCTGAGTTTGATTCCCAGTATCAAAAACAAATGATGAAAGAAGGGAACAATGTGTCCTGATAATACAAATTGACCCCAAATTTATAATCTCAAAGGATAGTCAAGATATGTGTACATATAATTATGAAATTAAAAGCACCATAATTGTATTAAAGGCAGGTCAAGAAGGTTGAAGAGTCAGGCAACTTGATCTGAGGTCAATCTGATTAATCAAGCTAAGCACAGAAAAACAATGAAGAGAAATGAACAGAGACTCAGAGAAACCATCAAGGATGTCAAGATATGCATAATGGTAGTCCCAAAAGCAAAAGAGAGAGAAGACAGGGCAATTGAAGTGAAAAGGAGAGAGAGAAAGGGAGAGGTAGAGAGATGGAGAGATAGAAAGAGAAATAGGGAGACAGAGAAAGATACAGAGAAAGAGAATGATTGAGAACTTTCAAAAATTGATAAAAATATTAATATACACATTCAAGAAGTTTTGTGAATTTCAGTTGAGATAAATACAAAGAAATCCACACCTACATATGAACTATTAGGAGCCAACAATAAAGAGAAAATTTTGAAAGCAATGACAAGCAACTCACTATGTGCAAGAATCTAAAGACAAATATTTACTGATTTTTCAATAGCTGACATACACAGCAGAAGTCAATGAGATAGCGTGTTCAGAGTTCTGAAGAAAAATAACTGTCAATTCCATAACTAGTAATAATATATCTCAAAAAATAAAGAAGAAATTAAAACATTATTAAATAATAAAAACTAGCAGAATCTACCACTAGTGAATTTTCCTTACCAAAAATACAAAGATGAATTCTTCCATATGAAATAGTACTATATTGGATAGTACCTAGCATCCATATAAATGAATGGAAGAATGGAGAACAATGGTGAAAGTAAAATCAGATAATTTAAATATAAAAAATGTATTTTGTGTAATTTTTCTTGTATTTGATTGAACACAATATCTTGCATAAGAAGAGCAAATTTTGGGAACTCCTCTTTTCAAAACTTAATATTAAGGTATTATAATATCAATTTATATCGTATTTCCATAGATCTGAGTCAAGAAATCAATTCATATATAAAGAAAGAAATTCAATGTCATGGAAATTAAAAGTCCTAAATTTATTTAAGCCAAATGATTTTGGACAAGATTATTCAATGGAAAAAGAATAATCTTTTCAACAAATAGTGGAGGTACAACTAACTAGTTACCCACCTACAAAATAGGAGAGGTAGACAAATACCTTTTCCCATTTACAAAAATAACACGCAAATTAAATAAAATGTTGTATGACTATCATAGTGGGAAGTTAGACGTATTTAATTTGGCCACATCACTAGGCAATATAAGCTTATGAGACCATCATCTTATATGCAGTTTGTTGTTCAACAAAATGCTATGTATGTGACTGTAGTAGGATTGTTTATGATCTAAACTAAAAATTATATACTAAAAATAACAAATGTTGTAGAGATTGTGGAGTAACTGGAACTCTTATACCATGTTTCCAGGAATGTAAAACAATGAAGCTGCTCTGGAAAACAGTTTGGAAGTTCCTCAGACAACTAAACTGAGAGTCAACAGATGGTCTAGAAATTCCACATCAGTTCCATTTGCTCATACAAATCCTTGTACATTATTGTTTATAGTAGCATTACTCATTAGAAAAAAGTGAAAACTCAACTATTCATTAACTGATAAATGTGTAAAGAAAATGTGTTATAGTCATATAATAGAATATTACTTGGTAATAAAAAAGAAAGAGCCAGTGCTTCTGATTGACCATGAACAAACTCTAAGAACACTATGCTAAGTGAAAGAAAACAGAACCCACACTGCCTATTGCATTATGTATTATGGGAACAGTCCAGAAGATGAAAATTTACATAAACTAGACTAGTAGTTTTCAAGGGCTATGGAAATTCTGGATGAGTGACTGCCAGTTTTACTAACTTTCATCTCCGGCAGTTACAAGTGTCCTGAGATTAGAGTGGTAATGGTGGCACAAACTTGTGAATATACGAAAAACACTCAATCATACTCTTTTAAAGTGTCCATTTTATGGTATGTGAATTATGTCCCAATAAAATAAAGGAGAAAAAAAAAGGGACAGTTGACTAAATGTCTAATAAGCTTTCACTAAAGCAGAAGAAAGTTGATAAAATGAGAGCCCCTTATTCTTATGTAGTTGGACGTATGTGTGAGACTAAGCGAGAAAGAATGGGAGAGGTACATTGGGTAATTGATAGTACTACATGAAGGGACTACTTACAAAGTCAGAGTTTAATCAAAATAAACAGGAAGGGCTCATTGTAAGGAAACTCCCATTGCTCCTTGACGTAAAAACAAGGAAGTGTCAGGAGCTAAAACAATTTAAAAGATAAACCATATTGAAGAGGCTGCAACAACATAATCAACCGACCAACATCCTGGAGATACAGAACTCGAGGAATAAGCATTTCTGCATGCTCTTCCTTCCCTGCATTCACATCCAAACCTCTCCTGAGAGAAAAAGGCAGGCGATGGTAAAGTAGCCACCAGAGGCCACCCAGAAACTGAAGCAAGCAGCAGAGTTACAAAGGTAAAATTGCAAGCCGGGTACACATCCGTGGTGCACGTCTGCAAACCCAGCACTTGGGAGGGTGAAGCAAGAAGATCGATCACCCCAAGCTCAAGGTCACACTAAACTACATAGTGAGACCCTGTCTCAAAATTAATTAGTCCACAAACAAAACAAACAGAAACCAAGGAAAAACTGAAATCATCCAGGACACCTACTACTAGACGATAGGCCAAGGAGGGTTAAGACTCCTTTCGATGATAGGGAGTGGAAAAATAGTCCTCTAAAAGGTGATTTAGTGACATGGGAAGGCTACTGCAGAGCATGCCCTCCCTGCTTAGATCTGTTTTTCTCCTGGTGTTTACATGAAGACAGTTTTGGGGGAAGATGCTGCAGCATTCTTTCTAATCAAGAGGGTTCAGTCACAATACACCTGGTACGTATAACATCCATTTTGTAAGTGGTTGCTTGGTCTTGGAGTGTCTTGCTTTGGATAAAGATAGGGAATTTAAGATAGGAGAATTTAGATTCACCCATCATGACCTTAGTTGGCCAATAATTCTCAACAAATACCTGTTTCTCAAATCTGTTTGTTTTTATATGTGGAATTAAGAATTTTACTTGATCAGTATATGTTGAAGGGGTACAGAGAACTGAGATAAGCACTTCTTATTTGAATTTTATCTAAAACAGAGACAAGAAAAGTTTAAGGATTTATTTCATATGGAGTGATAAAAGTTTTCTTTACAACATATACAGACATCAGATATCAAGACTGAGTAGAGGAATCTCTTTCTTCTAGTTAATTCAAGAAAGTTTTCAAATACTAGCTTTCCTGCATGAACTCCATCATTCTCTGTCTTGTGATGATCCTTTGCATTTCTAGATAGAATAAAACTAAAAAATACAGTAGAATAAAAAAACATCATATTTAGAAATAATTATTTTAATAGAGAAATACATGCAAATTTTAAAAATAAGTTTGAAAACATCTAGATAAGGTTAACAAAAGTGAAAAATCAAATTTATTGTAAAGTTGAACTACAGACAATTTAGGAAGAGAGAATGTGGAGTAAAGATAGTAATTTTTAGGGAAATTTGCAATGTGTTTGTTCGCCTATCTCTATTCAGTGTTTACAGGACTGCAAAACCTACTTCAAAGATTTTGAAACTTCCTGATTTTAGAAACTAGATGGGGAAAAACTCACAATTAATTAGGAAAAAGATGTTTTCATATAATATACTTCACACCAATCATTTACAAAAAGAGCTGAAAACTCTAGGAAGGGGAAGGTTAATTTGACCCGGAGATTTCTGTAAGACAAAATGATAGAGACATTGCCTAACTTGAGAGTGGAAACATGCTGAACACTCCTCAAACAGGGTAGGAAGCAAAAGAGATTACAGGCGTGATAAGAATGCATGGGAAGGCACTGGTCAAAACTCTAAAGTTAATAACTAATCAAATATTTTTAGTGTTACCTTCCTGTTCTGGAATGTAATGTTTAGGAGGACAAAGTTCATGACTTTTTTAGTCTCTTGTTTCTCTCTTAAATTGAAAACAAGCACTCAAACTCCTGGAAAGCAGCAAACAAATGGAAACACACACACACTAGTTTTGGAGAGGTGAGTGTGTGTGCGTGTGTGTGTGTGTGTGTGTATGTGTGTGTGTATTTTGTGTAGAATGTGTAGAATGTGATGAGCATATTGATATTGATTGGGAATTAGAATAGGAAAGAAATTTTGGGGTCATATTTAAATGAACCATGAATGGCAACATAAGAAATGCTGATTTTCTTTTGGAAGAAATTTGAAGTCATTGCAGGTGATGTAGACATGAAGAGATTGCATTATTTTGCTCTTTAAATTCAAAAGTTCATCCATAGAAAGAAGATAACCTTTCATTCAAGTCAAAGATACTACAAATTATCCTTACCCAAACATAAATAGATATACTTTTAAATCTTTGTTGTTATCTAGCTCTCCTTTATCTCCTTACTTCCTTGGATAACTAACCACATCTTTAGATATACTGTAGAAATTTGTATCCTGCCTTAAAATAAGTATGGCACATCTGCAGCAGATTCAGAATGTTATAGAGGTTAATGTAATTCCTCTTGAAATTTTACACAATGTATGCAAATTGAATATATAAAATTTGGTTAATTCCATGTAGTATTATTAATAATCTTGGAATTCATATGCAAAATTTGAAATGGTCTTTCTAGTATTACCAGCTAAAACAATTCAACCTTTGCTTATAATATTGTCTTGTGAAAATATCATGTAAGTGTGTAATCAGAGTTACTCATTGTTTTTCATCTGGATTAATTTTTATTTACATGAGGTCTTACTAATGTTTTTCCAAAATATGCAATTACTCTTCACATCACATAGTTCTGGGCATCACATCTAGTATGTGACAAAAATTTCTGCAGAATTATTTTATATATGAATTCTGCATATTGACAGATGTTGTTCCCATGGGGTATGAATTGATAAATGTGTGTTGAATGTAATTTATCTCTACCATATGTCCCTAGGACACATTGTTCTTCCTCAATACTTCCTTCTCAACACTCATTAGAATTATAGATTATACTGATGCTTAGGACTCTCCACTGATTGGCTTCATTATAATGTATGTAAATTAAATAGAGTTTTAAAAATCATAAAAATGGGCCATGTATCTATTCATAGCACATGACATCAGACACAAAATTTACTACAAATTGATCTATCTACTCTGGAACTTCCTCTCCCTTCAACTCTTCTTCTCCTCCTAATTTACAAAAGCCTCTTCCACATTTTTTTTCTTCTATTCTTTTTTTTTTTTTTTTCCTGTTCTTTCCTCCTCTTCCCCTTGCTTCTCCTCTTCCCATTTGAACATTTTCTTCTAACTTCCCAATATGTCATCTAATTTGGTCCTTGTTTACTCTTTCGGTTTCTCATACAAGAGAAACAATGTGATATTTAAACTTGTGTGTCTGATTTATTTCTCTTAGCATTATGGTCTTAAGGTGCATCTGGGTGAGGCGCCTGTGTTAACAAGCAAAAGTCAAAGTGGGAGTTTGAAAAGTCTTTCCAGGGAGAGAGGAGCTGGGTAAATATGTGCTCATATTTTTCCAGACTCCATGTGAAAAGAAATAAAGAGGTTCTTTTAATAACTTAGTAGAGAATAAAATCTTCTTTCACCAGGGAAGATAGACAAGATCTGCTCTCAGTAGAATCTTAGGAAGAGATACAGAAGGATGTTAAGAGCAAGGAAAAGTGTCCAGCAGCATCACCATAATGATCCCAGTAGACCAGTGCAGTTTTCCCATAATAAGCATGCATTTCCTACACGGTGATGGACAAAAATGAGTTCACTGCCAACTCTGGCCACTTTACATCCTTCACCTTTCTAGGGAAAGATCAAATGTTGAAACTGGAGGGGTAAATGAGACACACAAAAAGCAAAGAAAATTTCTTTCTTTAAAAATCTGGCTTTAACAGACATGTTTTGCTAGAAAATTCTGAATAATGGCCCTGAAAAGATTTTTTTCTGGAATCTTAGAATGCAACCTTTTATACATTAAGAATGAATCTGTTCACATGTAATTAAGGTAAGAATGTAAAATTGAGATTATGCTGGAATATGATGAGCTCTAAATTAATTGATGAATGTCCTTATAAGAAGCAGAACAAGGTAAGACAAAGAAAGAGAGAAAAAGGCCATATGAAGGCAAAGTCACTGAATTTAGTCAGCTAGAAGCCAAACAACACCTACAGCCGCCATTTCAGAAGTCTGAAATCAAGTTACTGGAAAAGCATATTCATTACAAAAGCTCTTAGAAAAAATGCTATCCTTCTCTTCCTCCTCCAGTGGCTAGCAGCTCTAGGCATTGTTTTAAGCCATTCTTTCTGTTTTAATTTTTGTGGCAGCCCTGAGAAACTAAAACACTAATTATTTGGTTTTATTGCTAAAACCAATTAACCAACCCAACCACCAAGAGGAAAAATAGTATCCTACATGGTCCAGTGTTTTCTTTACCTCCATCACAGGGAAGGAAAGGTACGTAGGAAGGATTTTCCTGAGTGAATTCACCCACTTACACTCTTACCACCAATTCACTACATCTTTTACAAAAGATTTGAATCCCACCATCCATGTTGCCTCTGCTCAGGAGGAGCCCGTTATGAAGTACTGCACCACTCGATTCTACACCAAACAGTGATTGGCCTGGAAGATTTCTTCTTTTTACAGATATGCTTCCTATAACATGTATGGATCATTCAACATCTTGGAGGCCATCCTATCGCCTACAGATTTAAAGGTCCTCATTTTGGAAATGTTCAACCATGATGTTACTCAAGCCATCCTGTTTGAGTTTAGGATACAAGAATTGGCTATTCTCTGCCAACCCAGACACCAAGCTGTTGGTATGTGAGACTTTGAAGAAAAAAAAATTACCATGGCAAGATTTAAATGGAAAAGAGAATGTTCACTGAAATCTTGCTACACTTATAGAATGCAAAGTTATTGAAACACTGAATAAATACTGCATCCCTTTAAAAATCAGAAGTTTTTGAACTGCACTCCTAATAAGAGGAGACAGGTTAATAACTAATAAGTAGTTGGTTTCATGGTAAAAATTTATTTTAATGTTGTATTAAAAAACTATCATCTACCTCTGGAGGAGGGGAACAGCTGCTCTAAGATGTAAGTGAAGACAGAATGAGGAACTTCAGGGCCTTGCTTGGCATCTGTTCCCCTGTTTCCATGGTGGAGGGGACAGCAGTCTTGATGCCCTGCCCAGTGCTACAGAGCAGACACTAGTAACTGGGTTAAATGGGGTCTTATCCCTTGTTTTTTTTTGGTACCGGGGATCACACTTGAAACTTTGTGCTTGGGGAGCAGGCAGCAGAACTACTGACCTAAATCCCTGGCCCTCTTATCCCTTTTTTATTCATGAACCTGTATGAAAGAAGAGTTCATATGTTTTTATGGACTAAAAGGCTTTGACTTCTCAATTAATTTTGAACATGACAATAGTTACCTTGCTAGATAATAACAAGGAACTACAGAAACAACAGGAAGAATTGTGACAGCAGAAGTGGAAGTCAATTGGTGGAATTAATTACCATGTGCACACTGATGTGGAAAGTATGAAACTATGATAGAAAAAAATACATTAAGTATTTGAACTGGAAGGATTGATTTGTCACAACTTGTTTCTAATAATAATATTAAAGGAACTTCTTCCATCATTTGAGACAAGCATCTATAATGTTTAGAGATTCGAAATAGAGGGATTGAGTTAGAAGATTAAGTTAGCAGTAAAAACCTATCATTAAAACAAAGACATGCATTTATTTCTCATCTTAGGATGATATTTTTTGGCCCTGTATTTATATCTTAAGGTCAGAAAACTCACTGGAAATCTTCATGACTAAGCTAATTTCACTGACTTGGTTAAAGGCATTTTTTTCCAATATCATTTTATAGCAAAGTCTTTGCTGAATGGTCCCTAGGGTTTAACTCTTTTATCCTAATTTGAATCATACAGTCCATAATTTTCTGGTATCCAAACAAATTCAGTGGGCAACCATGAACAAAATTTGGGCACAAATACTAGCAATCACCATTTTCTCTCCAGCTTTAGTAAAAGAACTGTGGCTTCATCATTTGCCGATGGACAGAAGCCCTCATATCAACCACAACCATGAATTTGATTTATTTAAGAAAAGCAGTCATCTGATTAAAATCCAATGTCTGTGGCATGAACTCTGACCAGCTTCTGAGAGTCACTAACCAGTACCAAAACCCCTGAGTAAAGGGAAACAAGTAGGGTAAACAACAAAAAAAATATGGATAAAGAGAACAGAGAAAAAAACCCATAAATATTCATGTCCTAGTTAATATTCTTTAGCTGTAATATTTTTAATTGAGAGATAGAATAATAATTGCCTCTTTGTACTGTGATGAATATATTCCTGCAATAATTTATAATATTAAGAGTAATAATGGCAATCACTAATAATAGCATATTTTCCATCCTAGGAATCGTATTGTGAGTTTACATATTAACACTTCTGATCATTAATATTTCAGAGATAAAACTGGCCTAACTTCTCATAGACAATAAGTGGTACAACCTCCAATCTGAGGAACCCATATAGTTCGGTCCCTAAATTCTTACTCTTAATCATTATTTTCTGCTGCTTCTCATAGAACCAGGGATCCACATAGCAGATGAACACAGAGTAATTAATTTTGTTATGTAGAATTTCAGTAGTAGGTAAACTAAAGGAGTTTTTGTACTGTACAACAGATAAATGGACATTATCCTACTGGTGCCAAAATACTACTAGTCTGAGTCCTAAATCCTAGCAAGTTGAGAGCCAGAAATGAAGACTGACATTATCAAGCCTCATATTCCAGACACTATTATATGCAACTCAATAAACTCCATCCCATCTCATCAGATCAAAAATTGTCATTCTGAAGAACAGTAAAAAAAAGAAAGAAGACTTGGAATTTTGTTATTACTTTAATTTTTGGTTGTCTTCTTTTTCTTTCTTATAATTAAGTAATAAAAAGTTCAATAATAAAAGCTTAATTTCAAATTTTATATTGAATTTTA